AGGATCAATGAATCCAAGAGTTGGTTCTTTGAGAAGATAAACAAAATAGACAAACCTTTAAGTAGGCTCATCAAGAAAAGAAGGGAACGGACACAAATAAACACAATCAGAAATGAAAGAGGAGAGATTACAACTGATACCACAGAAAAAGAAAGGATTGTAAGAAATCACTATGAAGAATTGTATGCCAAGAAATTTGAAAACCTAGGGGAAATGGACACATTTCTAGAAAAATATAATCTCCCAAAACTCAATGAAAAAAAAGTAGAAAACCTGAATAGACCAATAACAGCAAAAGAAATTGAAGCAGTAATCAAAAAACTCCCATCACACAAAATCCCTGGACCAGATGGTTTCACAGGAGAATTCTACAAAGCATTTAAGGAAGAGCTAACCCCTATTCTTCACAGACTATTCCAAAAAATCCAAAATGATGGAAAACTCCCAAACGCCTTTTATGAAGCCAGCATCATCCTAATTCCAAAACCAGATAGAGATACAACAAAGAAAGAAAACTTCAGGCCAATATCGCTGATGAACATAGACACTAAAATCCTCAACAAAATATTGGCAAATCGCATCCAACAATATATCTAAAAGATTATACACCATGACCAAGTCGGATTCATCTCAGGGATGCAAGGATGGTTCAATATTCACAAATCAGTAAATGTAATACATCACATAATCAAAAGAAAAGACAAAAACCATGTGATCATATCAATAGATGGGGAAAAAGGTTTTGATAAGGTACAACACCCATTTATGATAAAAACACTCAGCAAAGTGGGAATAGAGGGAGCATTCCTCAATATAATAAAGGCCATATATAAGAGACCTACAGCCAATATCATACTCAATGGGCAAAAACTAAAAGCTTTTCCACTAAGATCAGGAACAAGACAAGGATGTCCACTTTCACCACTTCTATTCAATATAGTTTTGGAAGTTTTAGACACAGCGATCAGGCAGGAAAAGGAAATAAAAGGCATCCAAATAAGAAAGGAGGAAACAAAACTGTCACTGTTTGCAGATGACATGATAGTGTACATGGAAAATCCTATAGACTCTACCCAAAAACTGCTCAAACTAATGAATTAATTCAGCAAAACAGCGGGTTACAAAGTCAATATCCAGAAATCGAAGGCACTTTTGTATACCAACAATGAAACAGCAGAAGCAGAAATCAAGGAAAAAATCCCATTCGATATAGCCAAAAGAAAAATAAAATATCTGGGAATAAACCTAACCAAGGAGGTGAAAGACCTGTATGCAGAAAACTACACAGCCCTGAAGAAAGAAATCAAGGAAGACATAAACAAATGGAAACATATAACTTGTTCATGGATTGGAAGAATTAACATCATCAAAATGTCCATACTACCCAAAGCAATTTACAGATTCAATGCAATACCTATTAAACTACCAATGGCATATTTCACAGACATAAAACAAACACTTCAAAAATTTATATGGAACCATAAACGACCCCAAATAGCAGCTGCTCTTTTGAGAAAGAAGAACAAAGTAGGAGGGATCACATTACCTGATATCAAACTATATTACAAGGCCACTGTAATCAAAACAGCCTGGTACTAGCATAAAAAAAAAGGCACATAGACCAATGGAACAGAACAGAGAGCCAAGAAATCTACCCAACTCTCTACAGTCAATTAATATTCTACAAAGGGAGCAGTAACATAAAATGCAGTAAAGATAGCCTCTTCAACAAATGGTGTTTGGAGAACTGGACAGCTATGTGCAAAAAAATGAAACTTGAGCACAAACTTACACCATACACCAAAATAAACTCAAGGTGGATAAAAGACTTAAATATAAGCTGTGACACCATTAAAGTCCTAGAGGAGAACATTGGCAAGAAAATCTCAGATATTCCACGCAGCAACATTTTTACTGATATGTTCCCCTAGAGGAAGGAATATAAAGGAAAGAATAAACAAATGGGATCTTATCAAAATAAAATCTTCTGTGTGGCTAAAGAAAACAGTAGTAAATTAAAAAGACAACCAACTGTATGGAAAAACATATTTGCCAATGATACCTCAGACAAAGGTTTAATCTCCAAAATATACAAAGAACTTACACGACTCCACTCTAAGAAGACAACCAACCCAATTAAAAAATGGGGAAAGGACTTGAACAGACTCTTCTCCAAGGAGGACATACAGAATATCCAGAGACACATGAAGAGATGCTCAATATGGTTAGCTATCAGAGAGGTGCAAATTAAAACCACAGTGAGATACCACTTTACACCAGTCAGGATGGCTATCATAAACAAAGCAACAAACAACAAGTGTTGCAGAGGGTATGGGGAAAAGCGGTCCTTAGTTCACTGTTGGTGGGATTGCAGACTGGTACAACCATTATGGAAAACAGTATGGAATTTTCTCAGGAAAATAAAAATCGACCTGCCTTTTGACCCAGCAATTCCACTGCTAGGATTATATCCTAAGAATCCTAAAACATAAATTTCAAAGAACCTATGCACCACAATGTTCATAGCAGCACAGTTCACAATAGCCAAGAGTTGGAAGCAACCTAGGTGCCCGTCAGTGAATGAATGGATCAAAATTTTGTGGTACATATACACAACGGAATTCTGTGCAGCAGAGAGAAGGAAGGAGCTACTGCCCTTTGCAACAACATGGATGGAACTGTAAAGCATTATGCTGAGTGAAATAGGCCAGGTGAAAAGACAGACACCACATGATCTCACCTTTAACAGGAATCTAAACAACAACACAAACAAGCAAGCAGAATAAAAACAAAGACACTGAAATAGAGAACATGGGGACAGTGACCAGAGGGGAGAGGGAAGGGAATTTAAGGGGGAAAAAGGGGAGGGATTTGGAGGAACATGTATGAAGGACACAGGGATGAGGACTAGGGGGTGAGGAAATTGGAGGCAAGTGGAGGGAAGGGGCGAGGGGGGGCTGGGATGGGAGAAATAGACAAAAAACTATACTTGAAAAATAACTAAATAAAATTAAAAATTAAAAATAGGCAAAGGACTTGAACAGGTACTTCTCCAAGGAGGACATATGGAGCATCCAGAGACACATGAAAAGATGCTCAATGTCGCTAGCTATTAGAGAGATGCAAATTAAAACCACAGTGAGATACCACTTTACACCAGTGAGAATGGCTATCATAAACAAATCAACAAACGACTAGTATTGAAGAGGATTTGGAGAAAAGGTAACCCTAGTGCACTGTTGGTGGGAAAGCAGGCTTGTTCAGCCATTGTGAAAACAGTGTGGAATTTCCTCATAAAACTAAAAATGGAACTGCCTTTTGACCCAGCAATACCACAGTTGGGATTATACCCTAAGGATCCTGAAACACCAATTCAAATGAATGTATGTTCCCCAAAGTTTATATCAGCACAATTTACAATAGCCAAGTGCCGGAAGCAAGCCCAGTGCCCATCAGTAAATGAGTGGATCAAACAAGTGTCGTACATTTACACAATGGAATACTACACGGAAGAAAGAAAGAAGGAGCTCCTATCCTTCACAACAGCATGGATGGAACTGGGGGAGCCTTATGCTAAGTGAAGTATTCCAGGTGGTGAAAGAAAAATACCATATGATCTCACCTATAAGTGGAACCTAATCAACAAAACAAACAAGTAAGCAAAATATAACTAGAGGCATTGAAATAAGAACAAAGTGATAGTAACCAGAGAGGCGGGGGAGATGGGTAGTAAGGGATAATATGGGAAGGGCCATGAAGGAACATGTATAAATGACACATGGAAAAGCCAAAGGGGGTGGGTTTGAGGGTAGGAGGCAAGGATGGGTAGTGGGTGGGGTGTGCTCTGGTCAAAATGGGAAAAAAGAGACATTTAAACAAACAACATTTTATGTATAATAGGTACTAGAAGAGATTCAGGTATAGGAAGCATATAAAGAAATCCATCAACTTGATCAAAGGGTAAAGCCCTTGTTCTCAAATAGCTTATAATCTCTTGAAGAGTCCAAGTACATACATATGAAAAACATCGCAAAATTAAAACACATTAACACCAGGCCTATTTCACTCAGCATAATGCTTTCCAGTTCCATCCATGTTGTTGCAAAGGGTAGTAGCTCCTTCTTTCTCTCTGCTGCATAGAATTCCATTGTGTATATGTACCACAATTTTTGGATCCATTCACTTACTGATGAGCACCTAGGTTGCTTCCAACTCTTGGCTATTGTAAATTGTGCTGCTATGAACATTGTGGTGCATAGGTTCTTTGATACCATATGATCTCACCTTTAACAGGAAGCTAAACAACAAAACAAACAAGCAAGCAGGAAAAAAAAAACAAAGGCACAAGGACACTGAAATAGAGAACAAGGGGACAGTGACCAGAGGGGAGAGAGAAGGGAAGTTAAGGGGAAAAAGGGGGAGGGATTTGGAGAAACAAATAGGAAGGACACAGGGACGAGAACTAAGGGGGGTGGAAATGGGAGGGAGGTGGGGAGCAAGGGGCGGGGGAGGCTGGGATGGGGGAAATAGACAAAAAAACTATACTTGAAAAATAACTAAATAAAATTTAAAAAAATTACAACACATTATGTGAACAAATGTCAAGAATTAAAATACCACAGGAACCCAGAGTAAAATACTGTAAACTATTGTCAACAGGAGACGTATCACACTAAATACTTAAGCATCCCAGATGGATACAATTTAGATAGACAGATGGAATTCATAAAATCATTATAAAGAAGTGGAATGACATTATCAAGCCATAGAGGAGGAAATAAGTATGGCATATGTGGGGAATAGTGAAGCCAAAGGCTTGGCTAAAGCACAGGGTTTGTGTTATGATAAATGAAAAATAAAGCTGGATTGGGAGGGTGGGACCAGTTGGCACAGAGGCTGGAATTCCAAGCTGAAGAATGTGGACTTGAGATGAAAAATGTTTTAGAATGTTGAGAGAAATCAGGAGTTATTTCTGGCACAATATTGAGTCCTATGCTTACCTGTACTTTGGATGGGAATTATAGTAGCAAAACCATCTTGCAGGTAATGTAGATGGATCAACCTTGCCAGGAAGCTTTCTCCATTTAAGACACTCATCACACTGTACCCACGTCTGGTCAGGAATCTTCCTGAATAAAGGAAAACAGAAGTATCAATATGTGTGTCCTAGCTTTGTACTGTGTCTTACATTAGAAATGCACACCCCAAAGTGAAATAACACTATTTTATATATGAAATGTGTTATAAGTATTACAGTCTAGGTGTCTAAAATGTATCTATCTTGAACTTCAAAGAAAAAAAAGATAGAACTATGCCAATATGAATACAAAAAGTAGTAAAAATATTAATATGGTTAGCTACCATTATTTATGGAGCTCAATGACATTTATCCTAGTATCTCTTGATCTAAGTAAGCAAGCAAGAAGATAATTTTAACTCTAAAATTAATTAACAAAAATTTTATGTGTGTGTGTGTGTGTGTGTGTGTGTGTATAATATATATCTCTAAGAAGTAAAACCCACAGAATCATTTTATTTGATTCTATGCAATCCTGTGACAAGTTTAAAATGCATTTGTGGGAGTCATGGAAGAATCATCATCAAAACTTTTCCCTCTCCATTTCCCTACAGAATCCCTTCTTTTTTCCTTTTCAAAATTAGTCTTTGTGAAGACTCTAATAAAAATTTTATTATGTTGATATTCTCAAAGTTAATTTTAAAAAGTAATATAAATGTGATTAAATTTTATAACTAGAAATGATGGCTCCAGTCCAACAATTGGGTTAAATTATTAAAATAAATTCTTCCAGAGTTCTACTCTTAATACACATACCCTCTCCCACTTCCCACCCTTGCCTAGGAAGCGTATCCAGTCACCTTCACCTTAAAGAAAATTCGTTTCTCTGTGAAAGAAGGTGGTTCATGTATAATAGAAACAGTCAGCATCTAAGGTGTGAAAGGAGTGGAAAGGGGGAAGGCTGGAGAAAAGACACAGAAAGAGGGTAGCAGGGAACCTAGGACCAATTTGAAAAACATAATTTAGCCTAGGGCTGGTTTTGTGTGTTACATTTATATTACTCTTATACTAGACATATCAATAGAGTGATGTGATTTTTTATGTCTTATTCAATATGTTTCTTATCTTTATAAATAATGTTTTTTCCTAATTTTAATAGTAGTATCAGCTCACTATAGAAAAAAGCTAGAAAATACACAAAGGTATAAAAAGAAAAGACACTCATAATTCTACCACTCAAATACAATATCCTCTCCTTGTTTAAAACTGTTTTAACAGAGAATTCATACATATTTTAAGGTATACACCTTCCTATCTCATAGCTCCAGGCTGCTCCAGCCTTGCAACTGCTAAACTCTAAGCTCAGGCCTAACTTCTGGTGTCTATATATTTCTGTAAAGCCACTGTTTTGTTCAAAGCCAGAGCAGCAAAAAGCAGTTTCAGCAGTAGTGGGAGGCGAGAGGAAAGGTCATATTAACTTTGGTTTTACATGCACATGCACAGAGTAGTCTTTGGCAGAAGCATGTCAATATTACACACTTGAGGACAAATATTAAAGTCAGAAAGTCCCTGCCTCAGATTACATGCAGACCATAGTAGATACTTCTATCTCGCAGACAAGAAAGGCTTTTTAGCTTGAGCTAGCAATAAATAGGTAGTTAAAGGGGTTACACCATATTACCCTCATTGCACTGTTTCAGAAAACCATCATGGATAGTGGGTTTTGGAGCTGAATTGCCTATATTTGAACCTTAGCTCTACCCCTTTACACCTGTCTAATCCTCAGCAACTTACTTAAACTCTCAGTGTATCACTGTCTACATTTGTAAAGAAGAAATAATCTCTATCTCACACAGTTGTTTGATGAGCCAATACATGTAAATACAAGTAAAGAATTTAGAACAGTGCCTGGTACATAAGTAAGTAGTCAATAAAGAATAATAATTATTACAATTTGGCTTCCAGAAAAATTTCATAACATACATATATACATTCTAGCAATATGCAAACATCTGTTTTATTGAATTAATAATTGCTTATTTGAAAGAGCAAAAAATATCATCTTAATTTTCGTGTCTTTGAAAACCATGGAAGTTGGATATGAATAAGATATTTAGAATAAGATGGTGATATTTATAAAGTAATTAGGTTGCATTTGAAACAAAATTTTATATCATAGCTTTTCCTGATCATTTTCATTAAAAATAAACATGGGTGGGTACCTACATCAAAATGAACTTTTAACACCCAAATCTCTGCCTTAATGATGGTGTAACTGACTACATATGTGTATTACACATTCTATATTAATCCTCTCTTTATGTTCTTTTCCTGGCCTACTGAGGCAGTTCATCTTGATGCACAGTTCTGTGTGTTATTCCCTATCTTAGATTTAATAAATTCTACCTTTTTTCTGCTATGCCGGATTCTCTACTTCTGCTGTCAAATTCCATGGTACAGTTCCAACAATGTCCTCTAGGAATAAAGAGAAGGAAAGTTTGCTAACATTTCTGAATACCTACTATATGCCAGGTGCTGTGCTAAAAATGTTTTAACATCTAATTTATTGTACTCAGAGAGGTGAAGTGAGTTACCCAAACTTGCCCAACTATTAAGAAGCAGAACCAGATTTCCAACCTAGGAGTACCTGATTTAAACGGCCATCATGGTCTATATCATATTGTCTATAGCATAAACTGAACATACTAAATTCTTCATATTTATAATCCAAACCACACAAGTCTTAAACCAGAATGAAGAGGTCCAGAGAATGATAAAATTAGTACCTGTGATTTCCCAGTTTTAGTTAGTTAAACTTCCTTATGTGAAGAGCACCATCTTACTCTTGTTCTTTCCATTTGCTCTATGGACATTACCCTTAATACTTTTATATTCTATAATTACTACTCACGGTATTGCCCTAGCTATGGCTGAGGTCTCAAAATTCTCTTTGGAAGTCTTTTCCTTCCAATAAGCATTGAGCTTCTGGGCAAGGGCATTTATGGTCAATCTGAAAGAAAAAGCAAGAAGAAGCATGTCAATGATGAGAATTTATTGAACAAATTTGTGACCTATGAGATACTCCCATCTAAAAGAAGCCAACAATTTAGGTTTAAACAACTACACTTATAGCAACTAGGATGGGAATCCACTACCGTTCAAATTACATGCCAAAATGACAGTCAGAATGCTGAATAGTCACTTTGATTAAAAAGGTAAAATGGTCAAAAGTCCTAAAAAGTACTGTGTTCTCCAAATTTTTGAGGGTTTTGAAATTATAGGGGAGTGAGGAGTTGACATTAGAGAAATAAAGGACTATTTTTCAGAGACAGGAGAGAGCCAAACACTGATATGTTATTTGATTGTTATGTGACTACATGTAAACTATTCAGAATCAAGTTGAAAGTCAGAGGATCAAAGACTACATCTTATCTATTACAAGTAAATCAAATATTAATTTTAAAATGTCCATATAGTTCCTCTTCATGCAAATGCTGATTAGAGCAGTTATAGCACCAATGGGCAACAAAGTCCTCTTCAATCTTCTACTACACAGCTGTTAGTGGAAGCTATACCCCAGTTTTGGCTGTTACTGTTTCTCCTTTATCTCTCTTCCCAAATTAATAACAGTAGACTCAAGGTCAAAAATATAATGTATATAAAGTCAAAACCAGAACTTTACTTCTACAAACTGTCAATTTTTCTAATGACTAACTCTTATTTAATTCTACAACCCAGGATTAAAACTTCCATGTACAACTGTACACACATGAAATACTACTGAATTAGTATATTTAAAATCTCCTGACTCTCTGGATTGTTTCCCAAGGTTTTTATAGACCTCTTCTTTCCATAAGGGGAATTCTTCCTTACCCCCCAACTCCTTACTTATATTAAATTAGATTCTGACTACACAGAGAAGGTTAAGGTTATTATACATGAGCTCCCCTTTTCCCCTCCAATGAAATAATATTCTACCTCTATGTTTATAACTTTCCCTCAAGCCACAGATAAAGAACCATTCCTTGTTTTATATTAATATTCTACTTTAAATCTACTTTAAAAATAAATTAGACAAGATTCTGGGAAGATGGTGAAGTCAAAAGACCAAGAATTTTAATCTCCAGCTGGACAACTGCACTGCCTGAATCCATCTGATGTAATTATTTGGAACTGTGGAGTCTATTGAAGGATTGAAACTTCCAAGGGAAGGCTTGGATGGTAAATTGGAAAATTTTAGCTCGTAGCACACCATCCCTTACCCCAACCCCATGACAGGCAGCTGTCCTAAGAGCAGCTTACAGGATCCAGGGTGGGGCAAAAAGAACTCTGCCCTTCAAATACCAGAGATCTGAGATCTGATAGCTGTGTGCTGTTTCTGATCACAGGCTCCTGTAATCCCCATGGTAACCACAAAGAAAGGAGCTATAAAACATGCACAAAAGGAAATGAGAAGATTTAAATGTTTAATCATAAAAAATCAACTGAACACAGAAGGAGATAGTAATGCAGGAAACGAGGATCACATCTATAAAGTGTATAGAAAACAAAAAGTAAAATAACAGAAGTACCTCATTATCGGTAATTACTTTACATGTAAATAGATTAAAGTCTCCAAACAAAACACAGAGATTGGTAGAATGAATATAAAAACATGATACAAATATATGCTATCTACAGGAGACTAATTTTATTATTATTTTTTCTTGTATTGATTCCAGAGAAAGGGGAAAGGAGGGAGAAAGAGGAGAGAAACATTGATATGAGAGAGAAACATCGAGTGGTTGACTTGTGCATGCATCCCAAATGAGGAATGATCCTGTAACCTACGCATGTGCCCTGACCTGGAATCAAACCCCCTAACCTTTCAGTTTGTGGGCTGATGCCCAACCAACTGAGCCACACCAGCCAGGGATACAACAGACTAATTTTAGATGCAAAGACATAAATAGGTAGAAAGTGAAAGGATGAAAAAGAATATTCCATGTAAATAGTAACCCAAAGACAGCAAGGATGGCTATACTGATACATATTAAACAAAAGGAAGTAGTACCTCCCTTTGTGGTTTTGCTTTCCAGTTTTAGTTACTCACAGTCAAATGTGGTCCAAAGAACAAAAAAACTCAAGAAATAAACAATTTATAAGTTTTAAATTGTGTACTGATCTGAGTAGTGGGATGAAATCATGCACTGTCCAGCTCCATCCTATCAAGAACATGAATCTTCCCTTTGTCCAGCAATCAGTATATCTATACTGTATGTATAGTACAATAAGATATTTTGAGAGAGACCACATCCATATAACTTTTATTACAGTATACTGCATTAATTGTTCTATTTTATTATTGTTAATCTGTTTCTGTGCCTAATTTATAAACTTTATCATAGGTATGTGTGTATAGGAAAAAAACAGTATTTATAGGGTTCTGTACCATTCATGGTTTCAGGCATCCATTGGGTGTTTTGGAACATATACTCCATGGTTAATGGGGAACTACTGTAGACAGTATACCATGATAGCTAAAACATGGAAGCAACCCAAATGTCCATTGATGGTTGAATGGAAAAGCAAAATGTAGTGTTTATGTATGTATGTGTGTATATATATATATATATATATATATATATATACACACACACACACACAATGAAATATTATTCAGTCTTAAAAAGGGATGTAAATTCTGATACATGCTTCAACATGGATGAAACTTGAGGACATTTTGCTCAGTGAAATAAGCCATCACAACAAGGCAACTATTGTATGATTTAACTTATGTGAGGTATTCAGAATAGTCAAACTCACAGAAACAGAAAGTAGAGTGGTGGTTGCCAGGAACTAGTGGTGAGGCATGGGTAATTATTGTTGAATGGGTATAAAGTTTCACTTTGAAAGATGAAAAGAATCCTGGAGATGGATGGTGGTGATGGTTGCTTAACAATATGAATGTACAGAATACTACTGAACTGTATACTTATGAATAGTTAAGCCCTGACTGGTGTGGCTCAGTTGGTTGGGTGTTGTCCTGCAAAGCAAAGGGTTGCCAGTTCACTTTCCAGTCAGGGTAAATGCCTGGGTTGTGATTTTGGTCTCTAGACAGGGTGTATATGAAAGGCAACCAATCAATGTTTCTCTCCTTCTTTCTCCCTCCCTTCCCTTCTAAAAATAAATAAAATGTTTTTTTTAAAGTGATGTTTAAGATGGTCATGTTATGTGTATTTTGCCACAACCAAAAAAAAAATTGAAAAGAAGGAAGTAGATGTGTGCTTGCCAGAGGTTTGAGAGGAGAAATGTGGAGTGACTGCTAATGAGCAAGGGATTTATTTGGAAGGTTATTAAAATGTTTTGCCATTTCCCATACCCCATTATCAATCAATTTCCAAAAATTTCTGATCTTTTTTACAGAATGTTCCATATATTTCATTTTACACAGCTACTTTTATTTCAGACATTCACCTCACACCTAGATTACTCTAGTAACCTTCAATACACCTTACACCATTGTCAGATTTATCAACTGATGTAGTCTGTGGAAAGCACTGTATAAACTATAAAGCTGTACATAAGTATAATATACACTTGACCCTTGAACAATGTGGACTTCAACTGTGAAGGTCCACCTCAAATCCACATTGTTCAAAATCCACATTTATATATTAAATGGACCTGCAAAGTTCAAACCTGCGTTGTTCAAGGGTCAACTATATCTTTGATTTGTAGGTGGGAATTTGTATATCTGGAGGGCCAACTTAAGTTGTATGTAGGTTCTCAACTCCATGGGTGGTCTGAGCCGCTAACCCCCTCATAGTTTAAGTGTTGACTGTATTAGATTCTTTTTAAAATATATTTTATTGATTATGCCATTACAGTTGTTCTATTTGCCCCCTTCATTCCCCTCCACCATGCACACCCCCTCCCCCAACATTTCCCCCTTTAGTTTATGACCACGTGTCTCAAGTTCTTTAGATTCTATATTTCCCATACTATTCTTGCCCTCTACCCTATTTTCTACCTACTGTCTATGCTACTTATTTTCTGTGTCTTCTCCACCCTTCTCCTTCTCCCACTCCCTTGTTGCTAACCCTACATGTGATCGTCATTTCTCTGGATCACTCCTGATCTAGCTGTCCTCTTAGATTGCTTTTGTTTTAGGTGTGGTTGTTAATAACTGTGAGTTTGCTGTCCTTTCACTGTTCATCTTTTTTATCTTCTTTTTCTTAGATAAGTCCCTATAACATTTAATATAATAAGGGCTTGGTGATGATGAACTCCTTGAATTTGACCTTATCTGAAAAGCACTTTATCTGTCCTTCCATTCTAAGTGAAAGCTTTGCTGGATAGAGTAATCTTGGTTGTAGGTCTTTGGTTTTCAGGACTTGGAATACTCCTTTCCAGCCCCTTCTTGCCTGTAAGGTCTCTTTTGAGAAATCAGCTGACAGTCTGATGGGAACTCCTTTGTAGGTAACTGTCCCCTTATGTCTTGCTGCTTCTAGGATTCTCTCCTTCATTTGAATCTTGGCTAATGTAATGATGATGTGCCTTGGTGTGTTCCTTCTTGGGTTCACCTTCTGTAGGACTCTCTGAGCTTCTTGGATTTCCTGGAAGTCTATTTCCTTTGCCAGATTGGGGAAGTTCTCTTTTATTATTTGTTCAAATAAGTTTTCCACTTGCTCTTTCTCTTCCCCTCTGGTACGCCTATAATTCAGATGTTGGAATGTTTAAAGATATCCTGAAGGTTCCTAAGCCTCTCCTCATTTTTGTGAATTCTTGTTTCTTCATTGGTTTCTGTTTGGTCATTTTTTTTCTTCCTTCTGGTCCACTCCCTTGATTTGAGTCCCAGTTTCCTTTCCATCACTATTGGTTCCCTGTGCATTTCCCTTCATTTCACTTAGTTTTGCCTTCATATGTTCCTCTAATTTGTGACTAAAATCAACCAGTTCTGTGGGCATCCTGATCATCAGTGTTTTGAACTGTGCATCTGATAGGTTGGCTATCTCTTGGTTGCTTAGA